TTAGTATTGGGCTAATAATAAATTGGATAAAGAAGATCGAATAAGAGCTGTTAATGATTTATTCATTTATGCGATCGGTACTTTTATTGTTATATTCGTATACACAGTGTATGAGTTGTTCGAGTTATACATTACCCGGAAATATCAGAATACTCTCGATACACCACCTGAATTCATTCCCGTACGAAATCAGGAACTACCAACATTAGCAGGACCAAAGTTAAGCATTAATCAATCACAACGTATCGCACCACCACCTTACAATCCTCAGTATCACTAATTCAAATCATTCTTCATGCGTAAAATCACTTTTCTTATTTGCTATGATGAATTGATTGAGGAAAGGTCATTCAAACAGATCATCATCATCTTTCAATGATGCCATTGATCAGTAAATTTTTTTTTTGGCAAAAGTTTTATTTCGGCATATATGATTGTTTTTACTGTATGTGTGACATTCTTATCATTTCATGATAACTTTTAATCTTCTTTCTGTATTTACAAAAATAAGAGTAAAAAAAAATTTTTTGATATCGAACATAATTGCTATTTTTCGCAATTTTTATCCAAAATTTTGAATTTCAGAAGCTAATATTTTGCAAATGATAGGATTTTATCTTGAAAAGTTAAATTTAAACTTCCCATTTTTTGTTTGTATTATGCTCTTATCATACGGAATAATCTGTTCGGTTGGTTGATCGCCTAAATCAACGATATAACCAATGCAATCATCATCATCATCACGGTTATCTTTTCATCATCATTGTGGCGGTCTTATCCGTTTCATTCCCATACAAACCGATTTTTAGACGATGAAAAAAAAAACTCGATATAATTTGTGCTTTTTTTTGAAATCAAAAACATTTATTTCCTTCCTATCTTCTTTACTTTCTCAATCTTTTTTTTTGCATTTTTTTGGTTATTGTCATTTTTTTTAAATCAATTTTTACTTTTTGTTTACAATTCAATCTTCCAAATTTTGCTCTTTTCCTGAATTTTGAAAATGTTACAAAAAAAAAACTGAACAAACTTTACTACATCTTCATCCTTGTTAATATATCAAAAATGAAAATTTCCACTTCAAATGGAAGTTTTTTTTAAGCAAAGAATTACAAAAAAGAAAAAGAAAGAATGAGAGTGAAAAATAAATAAGCAGTAATTATAAATATAAGAAAAAGAGCAGAATTTTTTTTAAAAATTAGTTCAAGATGATTCATGCAAAATTTTTTTTTTTGCAATCATTGAAATGAAATTCTTTTTCTGAATATTGTTGTGAAAGTGTTGTAGATTGATTGACTGGTTGCTGATTCACAGAAAAATTATTTGTTACGATTTTATTGTTTGGAAATTTTATCAGAACAATTCTAGTATTAATAAATGAAATGAGCAGCAGGTGATTTGATGATAATTACAATTAGGAACAAATAAGCGCACGAATGTTGAAATGAATGAATGAAAAAAGAGCTACTCGTGCTATATTTGACTGTTTATGTACTCAATGTTAGACGGTATCATGATAAGAGATAATGCGTTTAACACCAGGTAATCCCGAGGTCAGACAATGTTATATTGAGGAAGGAAGAAACGATGAGGACAAAGGAGATTGTTTTGACTACTTGTTAGCTACATTTATTTCATATAAAAGACGCTATAAAACAATCTCAATGACAAAATTATAGCAGCACAAAGAGGTCATATGACAAGAAATTAAATTTAACAAAGACAAAATTGTGAAGCGCAATTTCCCCAGTTTTACAGTCAGTGACACAAATCTCAATTGTTGTGGAAAATTTTACATCATAAATTTTCGGATTTCTCGACAAACATATCGATTAGTTCGTCTTTGCTTTTCTGAAGGTTTTTTTAGAAGTAACTGAAGAAGTATTGTAATTTTCTTAATGTTAGCGAAAATTGGGCACATATCCTTTCTTTTCATTTGTATATTTTCCATGTCTTTCACATTTATTAATAATGTAAGATTTTTAACACTGTTTCCTTCAATTTCATTATTCGATTATGTATAGTACTTGATATACATATATATATATATATATATATATATATATATATATAT